AGATGCTATCTCCCCTGAGATACTATCTTGAGCTGAAATACTATCTCGAGCTGAGATGCTATCTCGAGCTTACATTACCAAGTCTAGCTGCGGGTTTTCTCGGGCTCTGGCTGAGCTATATGGCAGCGCAGCACGCATATCTGTCATTTCCGGCTCACAACGAGCGGATCGGCGCCATATGGGCGCTGAGCCGGACTTGTGAGTCGTGGAACCGAGCCGACTTAGACTCGGACCTGTGACGTGACTCCAGTGGATTCGGGGCTCAGACTGAGATTCAAGACAACAGGACTCGGACTCGGACGTGGACTCTCGAGCTCAGACCCACGTCTGCTCCGCGCTCGTTTGTTTTGCGTGCGTGCGCTAGCGCTGACCCGGAACCGCAGGGTCTGTCGCACGCTCGTCTGCTTCGTGGTCAGCAGACTGGTGCTGGACTCAGCTCTCCGTGGCCTTTACAGGCGCTGCCGGAGAAGATATCCACTGACGAGCAGCGGGAGCTGCTGGAGCTGCTGCTCAAAACCCACGAGCTGGAAATAGAGAACGTAAGTAGCCGTGGATCAGCCCAGCTCTGGTGACATTACTTCACAATGTGCAGTAACGCCACCGGATGTGAAGTAAAGCCACGAGCTGGAAATAGAGAACGTGAGTAGCTGTGGATCAGCCCAGCTCCGGTGGCATTACCATCAGTGTGAAGTGACGCCACCGGATGTGAAGTAAAGCCACGAGCTGGAAATAGAGAACGTGAGTAGCTGTGAATCAGCCCAGCTCCGGTGACATGACCTATCAGTGTGAAGTGACGCCACCGGATGTGAAGTGAAGCCACGAGCTGGAAATAGAGAACGTGAGTAGCTGTGGATCAGCCCAGCTCCGGTGGCATTACCTATCAGTGTGAAGTAACGCCACCGGATGTGAAGTGATGCCACGATTTGGAAATAGCGAATGCGGGTGGCACTGAACCGGCCCAGCTTCGGTGTCGCCACTTTACAGGTCTGGTCTGGTGGTCTTTACAGGTCACAGGTCTGGTCTGGTGGTCTTTACAGGTCACAGGTCTGGCGACTGAGACTGTGAGTCGCAGAGGGCCAAAATATGCCCACACTTGACACAACCGAAATAGAACAGTTACAGGTTAGGGTGCAAATGGCAAATTATTACTCGGAACCCGGTGGCTAACGAAAGTCTAAAAGTTGAGCATCAGGATTATCAGCGTAAAATTGTCGCGGGATACTCCAAACCTTTTCATGGGATGGATTTGCGGGCACCACCGTCCAAGCTTATTATTGCCTGTTGCGTGAGCCCTAACCCCGCCAATTGATCGTCAAGGCGAAGCCTTAACGTGCCACAATGCTCGGCATGGTCCGACCTGCCCTCTGACACCACATGACCTTAGCTGCGGATGGCCGCTGGCCATGTTGGTCAGAGGCAAACAGTTTGCTTGTTTGCTCACCGGCAATGTTTTGGCTCGTCCAATGCAACACGAAACTAATTAAACAAAGAAAAACTGAAAATTGCTCCCAGAGCGACGGCGTGCCCAACTGTTTGAGCGGTTGTCATGGAACTTGGCGCAACTGGGCTGGCGCGTGGCGTACCGCTATATGCCACACATTATGAATAATATACGGTGCACGGTCGTGTGTACTTACACCTTGCAATCTGTGAGTGTAACAGTGCTGTGACCGCGCAGCACAGTTCAAAGCCACCGGGTAGGTAACAATGGCGCAATGGCAAGGCAGCAACTGGTACCAGGCAGAGGTCCTGTTGACTTGACACGGTCAGGATCTTACTGCGGTCTAAGCCCAATTTTATAGGATTAGAATTATATGAAGACCACTAAACACCATTCACACCCTGCGGACTTGCCGCAAAATCCGCTGCAGATGTTGTAGTCAGCTGTTCACGCTGGAGGTACCCCTTCTAGCTCTTCTTACCCGCGCTTTGGCGGACCTGCGGACTCAACTTCGGCACCTCTGGTCCACAACAGCGATTGCAGAACTTGCAAGCGGATTCCGCGGCCCGTTCGCATGGTGTAAACAGGCCTTGACTCACCATCCGCGCCAATCTTTTGGTGGCAGGTCTAAAAATAAAAACACTGCAGCTGCGCCTTGCGGGATCCGACTGGTGGATGCGCTGTGCTGGCTTTTATTGTGCACACGCCTCAGTGAAAACAAGGAGCCGCTTGCGTGAAACAATGCAGCAAACGTCCCCGCTGCTAAACTAAGCGGCAACGGCGGCCCGGTAAGTGAATCGGTAACAGTATTTTGACCTGTGTGTCATAGTACATTTTCATCGGCGTCCGTCGACGTGACTGATTCAGCGAATACATCCGACGCTAGTGTCCTGCATCCCACGCATACGCTGCGGCGGGCTGTGAACTGGCCAACAATGCCCGACACGTGCGAGTTTTCACGAAGCGCCTTCGCCGTAGCCGACGCTGGCGCGAAGTCATGTCAAGTCATGGCATAACACCCATAACTAAAAACCGGTGTTGGTCCGGGAGCTGCCGTGCTGTCCCTGACAACGTTCCAAGCTTTGAAAGTCAGCGTCTGTCATGCTTGCAGTGTTTCTGCGACGGTCGTTTCGACAGGCTGGCTCCCTCCCATGCAGTGCAGTCGGCAGCAACGTGCAGGAGGTCCTGCGGCTCCATTGATCGAGCGTGCAGCATTTTGCAGCAACCCAATCTCTGTCATTTTGCTAATGCTACTCGAGCGATGAATCATGCAAAGAATAAAGGCCACGAGTTCTGACTTTCTGGCTTCGTACAATAATTTTTATGTGATTTGCGAAGACCATCCTGAAAACTTTTGAAAATACTCAAGCTTAGTATTGTTAAACATTTTCTAAATTGTAGTATTCTATGATTTAACTGCAATCATTTATTTACACGAACAGCGTACCATTAACAATTTACAACGCATGTCATTCTCGCATAACTCGACGTATATTAGCCAAGGAGGCATTTTTGCCCCTGTTAGTGAGCATTGGCCTTTACCGTGCACTCCTTCTTAAACTACGTCTTGAAACAAGGAAGGTATTGTGCTGGCCAGACAAGTAAGTTGCATGCCATTATTTTCACTTGTCTTCGTTGTAAAATGTTTTCAAGGTACGAAAAATTGTGAAGTAACAAAGTACATTGCAGCCTAGTTAAGTCGCGTGTGGATAAAGGGGCTCTTGAAGTTTATTAATAACACGTTTTCGCTTGAAAGTACTTGAGCTCGTGCATGTGGGGAGCATGTCAACAGCTTTGGCGTATGAGCCTGTCAGAAAATGATGGAGTCAGGTTTGGCAGGATGCAGTTCTCCCTCCAGTATACACAACGTCACCCATGGACCAAGAAAACATACCGTGAGGAGAAAACATACCGTGTGGAGAAAACCTACCGTGAGGAGAAAACACCGTGAATAGAAAACATACCGTGAGGAGAAAACATACCGTGTGAAGAACGCATACTGTGATGAGAAAGCATACCGTGTCAAGAAAGCATACCGTGAGGAGAAAGCATACCGTGAGGAGAAAACATGCCGTGTGGAAAAACATACCGTGTGGAGAAAGCATACCGTGTGGAGAAAACATACTGTGTGGAGAAAGCACACCGTGTGGAGAAAATACCGTGAGGAGAAAACATACCGTGAGGAGAAAACACACCGTGTGGAGAAAACATACCGTGAGGAGAAAACATACCGTGAGGAGGAAGCATACCGTGAGGAGAAAGCATACCGTGAGGAGAAAACACACCGTGAGGAGAAAGCATACCGTGAGGAGAAAGCATACCGCGAGGAGAAAACACCGTGTGGAGAAAACATACCGTGTGGAGAAAGCATATCGTGTGGAGAAAGCATACCGTGAGGAGAAAGCATACCGTGTGGAGAAAACATGCCATGTGACGGCCATTTGCTCATGGCTATAATTGGCATGCGGCGTTAAATGGCCGTTATCTGTGTAAGTAGATTAACACCACTTAACTTCAAGCACGAGGAGTCCTGTGGTCATGAACACCAGGCTTTCGATCAGCTCCTTAAGGGCACGACCTCCGTACTGATGGTCTCACCCGTGTCATGTTAGTGGTGTCCACATGTGGAAGGGGTCATCGATCCACTCCTCATTTCCACATGACATGAGCCATCAGTCCGTTGATGGTCGCTGCGGTGGGCACGGATGATCAACTGAGGAACTTTGCCCTCAGAAAAAGGTCCGGAAGCACTGTTTTCAGCATTGCAACGGAATAACAGTTCAGTTCTCGTATCAACAGGACATGGGCTTTCAGAGCAGCTGTTGCATCCACAGAGTCACGGATAACTAGTCCAGTGGTCACGTCCTTAAGGAGCAGGTCAAACCGGTCACAAGGATGTAGGAGCTTTCCCCAAAATTGGGTGGGCCAAGCCCCTTTTCAGGTCAATAATTTCCACACGGCGCATGGAGTCGCCTTTAAATTCCCACGAAAGGAAGTGAAACGCGGCCCCTGTACCCTGCTTTCCCGCTAGTCAGCGTTTCTCTGGAAAGAAAAGTACTTTATGAAAACATAATTCCTGCTCTTTGAAGGGCACTATTGGCCTTGTTTTTGGTAATCTTAGGTCCTCAAATTCTGCTCCAGACATCGAAAGTGATAAAATACGCTCGTCATTCACGGCGAAGTGGAGGTCATGGCAGTCGACCTACAGCGCCACGCAAATACTGCAGAGAATGATTACTTTCAATCAAATGCGTTAACGCAAGCCTATGATTACAGATCCCAAGCCTTTTAGCGGCCAATAATACTACACGTATATTGGGATAGGGGGAGATTCCGTGAGCTACGACAAACTATAATTCGGAAGCCTACTCACTGCATTCCATTGCGGCGTTTTCGCCTATTTCCGGCGTCACCGCCACGGCCCGGTGGTGACGAATCGTACGCGCCCCCCCCCCCCCTCCACCTTCCCCTCCCCGTCAGCTGAACACGCACCTTTGCAGAACTCCTGGCGGGGGAGGGAGCCGCGGTATCTGGCCACGTCACGTTTGCAGGCTGCAATAATAGCTCATTCGCCGCCGCCACCGCCGGATCGATCAGCCCCAACCACGGCCGCTGTCTCGGCCTCCTTGAAACACTGACCAGCGGGGCGATGGTCACTGCGCACGGGCCGCGGCCGGCGAGCCGCGCCAGATTGTCCGTCATCACGCTCGTCGACTGTGGCAACGCTTGGGACTCCGACCCCGAACAGTCGGCTTCTCAAGGTCGAGTCATGGTGCGCTGCTAAAGGTCGAGTCATGGTGCGCTGCTAAAGGTCGAGGCATGGTGCGCTGCTAAAGGTCGAGGCATGGTGCGCTGTAAAGGTCGAGGCATGGTGCGCTGCTAAAGGTCGAGGCATGGTGCGCTGCTAAAGGTCGAGGCATGGTGCGCTGCTAAAGGTCGAGGCATGGTGCGCTGCTAAAGGTCGAGGCATGGTGCGCTGCTAAAGGTCGAGGCATGGTGCGCTGCTAAAGGTCGAGGCATGGTGCGCTGCTAAAGGTCGAGGCATGGTGCGCTGCTAAAGGTCGAGGCATGGTGCGCTGCTAAAGGTCGAGGCATGGT